TGTCAGCTGACAACAGCGACTCTCCTCAGAAGAGATTTATAACTTCATACAATAGTCTCAGGTAGAGGAGCCAGACCTTATGTGCTACAGATATTATTGCTTACATTAATTTTAAACTAATTTTATTATTTCAGTATCAGTTGTTTACTATTACTTGTTACTGTGGCAGTAGAAACATTATACAATGAGGATTGTTTAAATGCCACTGCTGTTGAAAGTAAAATCTATATAAATAAAAAAGTAACATCTCCCAATATAGTATTACAATCTTCTAAGGTTTCTAACACAGCAATCAATTCAGAAAAAAAGTTACAACCCTCCTCTTCTACTAGAAAGTCAATTATCCATTACTGTAAACTGATACTGTTATAGCAAAAACCCTCACATCCACATTTCCGTTCAAAAAGCTTCAGTATTACAAATTTGAACGTGCAAGGAGGTTTGATACTCAGCTTTTGCTTTTGAAGCAAAAGAAAGAATGTGCAAAACAAATTGTTCATCATACATGTTCATGCACATGTTTAACCAATCATCTCATGAGGGCTTCCTAACGTATTCCTTCTAGATGCATAGATGCTTCTAGTGAAATTAGCTCTAAAAATTCAGTGTATTAATGTTTATTAGTAGAAGTTACTCAACAATTGCCTATAGGATTATATTAATTCCCATGTTATAAGACCAGTAAGCTCATGCTCTTTCTCAGTCATTTGTTCTATACTAGGATCCATCTTTGAGAGCCAAATGTAGTCGCATTTGTTGACTAGTAATATGCTTCAAAGTTGTGGCTTTTTCAAAAAATAAAACACAAAGTATACAGTTTAAAAATACAGAATAATAAAAATACAGAGAAAGAAGAATGTGAGAAAAAAACCAACATTTTCAGTAAGTTGAATGCTCAGGAGGAAAGGAGAACAAAAAGAGAGGGGCAGTCATTCAACTCAGAATCAGCAAATCCACATAAGTGGAGGAGATGGAAAAGATATAGAGGAGAAAATCCTCCACATCCTACAACATGGATGAGAAGAAGAGACATCTTCATATTTCAGAACAGTAATAAGCACACAATGAACCCATCGCAAGGCTTAGGATACTCATTAACCTATAATGTTTGCTAGGAAAAAATCTAAGACAATTCTTGTTTTTTTTCATTCTTTTAGATCTGCAGAGTCACCTGAAAAGCACATTCTTGAAACACAGCCATAAAACCTACACAAAAACATCTTAAATTTCCTCTTTAAACTCATGGCTGTAACATGCATAATCTAGTTATAACAGACTAATAAAAATAACCAGCAACCACAACCTGCTTTTGATTAAGAGTCAATGAAGAAAGTTAGTTCAGAGTATCATTTGATCAATAGATGCAAAATCTACTGGCTAGCAAATCCTATGTATTATTTTACAAAAATAGTTTTTGTAAACTTAACTGTTTTCAGTTGCTTAACATGCTCTTGCTAGTAGCTCCTAGCAAAACAAAGCAACACATATAAAACAGGCTGTGCAAGATGAGGGTTGCCAGAGTTCTGATCTTGTAATACCACCTACTAAATGGGAAATAAATAGAGACCACACAGCAAGGTTCAGGTCAGAGGCAGCACTCAGCCCCACACATGGCACAGCTCTGTCTTCCTTCTGTAAACAGACTGGGTCTTGTCTCAGCCCTGCAGGATTGTAGATATGACCTGATGGCCCCTTTTCCACAACCTTTAAAAATGCATATTTGCATAGGGAAACACTCCTTGAATGACTTTCCACTGAAGAGCAGAATAATACAAAGACTGTAAGAGCTCTGACTGAGTGCTTCGGGCGTGCTCCGGGCTCTGGCTGGGCTGAAGGCTCTGCAAGATCAAGCAATTCAGTGTCTTGATTTGCTGAGAGCTCTATGATTCAGTAACTGAATTTTCAGATTAGTGCTGGCACAGGATCAATAAATCCAGCAACCACTACAATCTTGATAATCGGTTATTTTCTTGATGGCAAGCACAAATAAGAAGTGCCTTTGCCGATCACATTTGAGATTCATCCAGGCTGCAGGTGGTCTGCTGACAGTGTTTGTCAACTGCCAGTTAGACCCTAGAAATTAGGATGCAAAGAGTTTCTGTGCCTACAATCTGACTTTGAAGTGCAGCCCAGTCTAGATGATACATGCCTAAGGCTGTTTCTTACTCAGAAACCCACAGGCTTTATGAGGAACCAAATTACAACATTCAAACTTCCTCATTACATTTGATCATGCATTCTCTTTTCTACTGTGCAGTCACTTAGAGTAACAAACTAACAGCACCAATTCTTACCTAAAACACAGAACTCCTTCAAAGTTGTCAATTGAGGATATGAAGATTTGGAACTTGAGGCTTTTCTTCAGATGCCTGAGAACAGGGCCAGATCTTCTTAGTTGAAGAACTTCCTAATTCTAGCAAGATCATGCTTCCAGGACAGGTCCAAGTTTTAACTTACACAGCTTAGCTTTATTTGATTTCCTGTAATCTTCTAAGAACAAAATAATTTTTTCCCCCTTTCTTCAGGCTTCACATGGACTATTATAAGTTCACATTGGGTTTGTTGGGTTTTTCGGTTGGGGTGGGGACAGAAGGGACAGGGAAGAAACCTCACCTCAGTGCCACTCATTCTACTTATTCTATAAATATTTTAGCTAAAATTTGGAAAATTCAAACTTTTAAAGTTGACTCTTACTTAACTAGCTAAACAAACCTAACTATCACAAAATTAGAACAGTCTCCTTTCTTAATCCTTCAGGGAAGAACCAAACTTGAAAAGGCTAACAAGTCTCATAAGTTGAATGCTGTTAATGAACATGGCAAAATGTCAAACATTTTAAATTACAAAAAGGATCCATAGAAGTTTAGCTTAAGGAAATAAATCAGCTTCAAGCCAACTCTGATTTCTAACTGGCTATACATGTTGTTTTGCATCACAACTGCATAAATAAAATGATGAAAAAAAAAAATTCAACAGTAAAAAGAAGTCCTTGTGAAACATTTTTTAAAACAGAAAACCCAAATATGTTGAAAACTTAATAAATTTGTACCAGGCTTTGAAAGAAGTCTTATGCTAATGATGTTAAATTTAATCCTCTCATTATTCTCCTTGTAAGGAAATTCGTACCACACCTCAAATGAAAACCAAGAGAAGATCAAACCACACAGCTTGACCAAAATCACAAAGTATAGACTTGTTTGTATCCAAGATAGCTCAATGCAACAGAAAGGGAACTGAGTCTTAATATATCCCATGGCTAGATCTGAATCATCTTCTGCAGCTAAATGTTCTTTAAATCAAGAGCTTTACCAGAATTTTTCAAAAGGACAGATTCCTTTGCTCTGCCACCATGGATTTTTAAATGCATCCTGACATTTTAGGTCTCCTGAGAGCTTAAGAGGATTTGAGGCCCAATCAGTAATAGAAAACAATAGAAAAATATCAGGTACAAAATCAAAACTCTAATTTGGTCCAATTTTTATCTTTAGAGAAAATAGTTTTCTTTTTTGTGTATGTTTTATTTAGAACTATTAACAGAGCTTTCAAAAATTTGCAACATGTTCTCTGTCTTGTGCTTAAAAAACTCCCAAACTTTGTAACAACATATAACATTTTCCTAACTGTCACGTGTAACTTGGGTTGGTTTTTTTTTCATTTATTATTATAAATGTATTCTAGCTATTTTAAAAATCAATTAATTTTGTTGTTTAATATTATTTGGGTTGAGTGGTACAACTTGACTATTCAATTTTATTCAACAACATTACAATATTGTTACTAAAAGATTATGTAGTTATAATTTTACTCTTTCAACCTCTCCCTTGTGCTCTGTATTCTCTACATAACTATGACTTCTTTCTTTTAGTTCCAGTACTGCTAATTCCTACAACATTATTTGGTCATGACTTCTAGTGCTTTTCTTTATATCCCAGATGTTAGAGTCAGACATGATTTATCTTCTTACACAATGTTCTTGTCCTATTGCAGAGGAAACTTGAAAAGGTCAAGCAAATCATCAGCTTCAGGAAGCTTAAAGACAAAATAAGTAGAACGCACTATGGCATTATTTTCTCATATGATACCTCTGAGGCACTTGTGCTTTTTTAAGAACCAGATTCTTCCTTGTGAATAGATTTTGAAACAGTGTAAAACTGTTTTACCAAACCAGAAGCAGAATTAAATGGTTCTGATAAAGCATACAATTATTCAACAAAAACCCCTGTCATTTTTCTCCATCTTTTGCATGTCACCATTATTTAAGTAACACATAGCAGCAAAAGCAGATAACCATGCCTTTTTTCCCCCCCTCCCTCTTAAAAGCTGAAAAACATTTTTCTTCAGTAAAATGGTTTATATATCACATCATGCTTGTCTTTTTCACAGGAAGATTTATGCTCTTTCTACAGAACTTAGCAAAAACATGTTGGAAACAATGTGAATCCTGAACTACAGTTTTAAAACAACACCAAGTACACCATCATACCAACAGCACTGTATATCACGACTTTGTAGGAAGGAAACAAAATATGGATTGTGAAGGAAAAAAAAATAATTATAAAACGGAAGATATTCATAAGAGCTTTTCTACAGTACATGGTTTCCCTCAGTCTTGATAAGGTTAGGTTTTTAATGTTTAACTTCATCCTCCAGAGGACAAATCCTTTGCATAATTTAAATCACTCTAGTTCAAACTGCACTATAAACTCATGACCTCTGTAATATTTTTTGAAGCCTTATTCTCTCGATTTTTTTTAAATGAGAACTGGTAACACTGAAAGAATGTTGCAAATAATTTTTAAGTGATCTTAACATAAGGAGAAATCGTTTCACAGACATGACACAACATCCACAGTAACTGATGATGTGGCACAAAACTTTTTTTTTTTTCCTTACTGGCAAATCAGAAGAGGTGCTAAGGCTATTATTTTGCTTTGCCTTCCCACAAGGCTCCTCACCACAAAATATGGCTTAGAGATCTTTTGTCCCTCCAGCTGTGTTAGGCTATTTCTCAGACGATTTCACCAGCACAATAACTTGCTGCCCTCTACAACTTGAACTTCACAGACTTCCAAAGAGTAAGTTTTCTTGGTAAGCAGGAATAAAAGGAACAGATTGCGTTATTTTTGCAGTTAAGAGTGATTCATGCATGTTATATAATTTTTCGCTTTCAGATAGTAAACTGCTTACAAATACAGTTAGTAAGCTTTGAGTTTATTATAGCTGCTAGATAATCATGCTTTTAAGATCTTCTATTTTCTTTACACTTTGTAAGTACGCAGTTTATCGTATTGTGTGCGTCTGACTTGCTTCTCCCGTTATCAAATTTCACCTGACATGATTTTTTGCTTCAAAACTATTTAAGTTCTTAGAAATACTTAATGAAGAAGCGTTACTACTTCAGTGCTTTAATACATGACCTGCAAGCCTGGCAAGACAATTAATATTCCAAAAATGTACTCAGCTACAGTCAAGGTATAAAAAAAAATTTCCCCCAAATACTAGCTCCTCTCTCTCCATAAAACCAGCAAGAGACTTTGGTACTTATAATTATCGTTCTGTCTGAAGTGATGATGGTTCTCTTCACATTGTCTACATGGCAAGTGGATCAACTGCATGAAGGCCAAAGAAAGCTTTTTCCTCAAAGTGAGGACTTCCTTGAGTTGTTCCTCCTGGTTTCTAGGGACTACTGTGGCACTGAGAACTGAAATTATTATTTGGAATTTTGTGACATCTAGTAGTAGTGCTGCTCTCTGTAGAGACATATTACAGCTATTTACTTAGACTAGCTCAGACATCTGATGATGCTGTAGACATGTGGAGACCCTGGCTTTGATGAGGACCTAGCTACAGCAGGGTTCCAAACAACAGACTCCATTCAAATTCGGTTTTAGGATTTTAATCAATATGAAATTTGATTAAATGAGTATTCAAATACAAATTATACAAGGTTAGAAATCCAAGTTAGACAATACCACAAATTATTTGCATAGCCTTTGTTACACAGGGGCTGTGTGCAATGCAGGAAGATTACAATGATGAATTAATTCCATGATTTTTTTACTAGTTTCCTTAGGATTCCCTCTCATTCAATGTGCAGAATACATCATGCATTAGGCATCAATCACCACTACGAAGCATAGGAAATTAGCATTTGTAAGTCTCATCTCCATTGTTACTGATTAATTGCGTTTCGTAAAAAAAAATACTAAGAGCATCAATTAAATTAAGAAGAGAGACCCCTGATTAAGAAACATTAATGTCATTATAAAAAACCCTGAGAATATCTTCTTTCCTCTGCCTCAGGGCTCCCATACTATACTGAGCAAAGTCTCTTTAAAATTTTCCATTATTTATGTGCTTTGATCTGCAATGTTACATTTTGACTCATCTGTTGTTTAAGTTGAACAGCCTGACATGATTCACAACTCTAATTCTGCCAAATAACAGGGTTCCTCTGACTGCATAAAGTGCTCTAAAATGTTAGTCTGGTTGTGAGACATCAGAAATTTGACATGCAAAATTCTGTCTTTCACAACATGGCTGTTTCACCTCAGAAGGGTACTTTGAAGGTAAATTAATCCATGTTTATAGAGAACATAAGATTACAGAAGCATAGGAAGACCATAAAGAAAACTTTTTATCAATGAGGATTTTACATGGTGTACAGTACACAATGGTTGAATTGTATTTAATTAAATGACGGGAACATAAAAATTAATTTTTTATTGCCAGTAATGCATTTTACTAAGGCAACCATGTTTTGCAGAAAATAGAAAAACAACAAAATGCCACAGAACATACAATCACTCATGCCATGTAAATTTCTATTTTACATATAAATATTTCTAAGTAATCTATTTTACTGTTCTATTTATAAAAACAATCCTGCAATTACCTCACTTTAGTTAAGGATATATATTTTTAACAAAAATATAACTTTGTTTTAAAACAAGAACAACAGACAGAAGCCACGGCTTGGATGCTTCGCAAAACTAGCAAATTTCTTCATAAGAAATGTAGTACATCACTAATGGTTTATTTAAAGAGATGTTGCAATTTCACCCTTGAAGATTTTCAAGATTCACCCAGACAAAGTCTAGGCTGATCTACTGTTGGAGATGGAAGCACTTGGAACACCAGGCTGGACTATATGGCCGCCAAAAGTCCTTCCAAACACCACTTCTGTGATTCTATGATATTGACCATTCACCATTTGTGCAGTGCAAGTCCGTACTGAGAATAACTAATCAAAAAAGAAGTTTTCATCTTGACAGAGTTTAATAATAAAAATAAGGCTATCTATCTGTTTCCAAAGGTCTGAGGAAGAACGTTACTCTGAAATTTCATCTACACCCACTTGAAAAATGACTTGCAAAGCTGATGCTTAACCAATTACACTGGAAAGAATGCAACACCTCAAATGTCCAATACAAACCACAGACTATATCATTTTTTATATAAAGTCATTTAGTAACTTCTCTGTAACAAGTTAAAATGAGAAAGGAATGAAGACGGGGGGGGGGGGGG